TCAGTGTCTTGTGCTACGGACTTGATGTGGGCACAGCCATGTTGTTGATGTTTGATAGCTGTTCCTTTAAGATGGCACGGAACTGCCACTTGCTCAATATCTCAATGGATCCAGCTGGTTTCTACATGTTTCTTCATCTAAACTCGCTTGAAACTAACATGTTGGAGATGAAGACGCTTTTTTGAGTGACACTTGGACAAGATTTTCACTGAACTCATTGAATCAGCCGCGAGCAGATAAGACTTGGAGAGTTGAAAGGATGTCTCGAGTTTCGCGTCGCGGCATCAGCTCTTGGATGTGCTTTCCTTGCAGACGCTGGCGCCAGACTTGCGAGACTTGAGTGAAGCAGTTGGTGATCGGATTGGCAGTGTACAAACGGTTTCTTTGAAAGTGCTAACGGGCTTCACAGTTTTACATCACTTTGCATGAATTGTATTGAATTCTTACATCATTTTCGTTCGGATCTTATTTACGTCCTTTGGACTGACAGCGCTCCAGAATCTACAAACTTCGACAGCTGTGAGTTTTGTAGAGTGTGCAATCCAACATCTTTGGATGCCTTCTGTGACAGTTCAGAATGATGTAGTGTGGAGTCTCAAGACTTTATCGTTAAGCAGCTAACTTACATCTCAGGATTGCTGGACAGAACGTTTAGCTTGAAAGATGATATACAAAAATATATAACGTATATGTAATCTATTGTCATGTATATCATACTATATTATTGAATATTATTCCATATTATGTACATATATAAATATTATGTTTCTGTAAGTCTGTGGGCTTTTTCGGTTCTGCATTTACCAACGGCTCCCCCAGGTAGCCGGCTGCGATGCTGTGGAGGGGTGAACACTGGATCGACTCGATCCTAGAGAAATGGATTTGTTTAAGATCCAATATTAAAATCGAAGCATTTGTTGAGTTATGATTGTTGATGAATCTTGGGATTGATTGACCTTGCATCTTGGGATGAATGTAGCTTTCTCGGCTGTCGCACAAAAAACACAACTTCTCGCAAGATAGGAAACACCCTCTGAAAACCGGTGACATGTCTTTAAATATTGCAAGATATTGCATGCATGTTGCGTATGTACGAGACGTTTGGATGGCTTTCGATGATTCCAGTGCACACTCTTGCCAAATCTATCCTCATCTGGTTGGTGGTTTCAAACATGAATGGATTATTTTCCATATATGGAATTGTCATCTTTCCCATTGACGAACTCCATCATTTTTCAAGATGGTTAAAACATGTTAAAACCACCAACCAGTCATATTGCTACCCTCTGGTAAACTAACATAGCTATTGAAAATGGCCATTTATAGTGAGTTTTCCCATAAAAAATGGCAATTTTTAATAGCTATGTTAAATTACCGGAGGCTACAACCATTTCTCGGGCATTGCTTCGAACTCGGTTCAAACGTGTGGTCGCAGGCGTCGGCCAGTCTGGGTGCCATCTTGCTGATGCAGGACTGCCGTGCCATTGCCACAATGGGCCTTTTTTGGGGAGTATTTTTGCATCGAAGGGGGATCAAGTACTCAAAATAGAAAGACACTAATATAATATATACCATATATATAATTATATATATATATACATAGAATGTCGTATCAATTACTAAAAATAGGAATATATATATATAAATATACCACTCAGGGTCGCCCATTTTTGGAGGAAAGTAGTCTTCCACCCCCCGATTGGCAGGGCCTATGCAGAAATGATCGTTGGTTGATGGTTTCATTGGTGAAAAAAAATTGTTCAGTATGGTTCAATTGGGCCTATGGGCTTAGGCGAGTTTGAAATCCATGGGGGAAGGTGAAGTTAGTAGGCTAGTTCTTTGCTGAAATGGATGGGAACAAAAAAGCCCAGCCATTTGAGGAACAACTACCCTCTGGTTATGACTAACATAGCCATGGAAAATCCCAACCATAACTGGAGGTTTCTAGCTGGGAAAATCATCTATTTCGATTAGGGCCATCTATACCATGGCGAACTGTTAGTCATAACCAGATGGTACCTGGTGTCGAATTCACAGGAAATAAAAAACCTCGGATGAACTGATGAAGAATCCTCGGATTCGGAGTGAACCAGAGGATCACCAATCGGATCACGTAACTTTCCCCAACCTGGGATAGCCTGGTGTAGAATTTTGACACAGATTGGTTAATTTTAGTGGAGCTTGTGTATATATATATATATTAGTATATATAATTATATATATATTATATGCAGTATTATATACATATCTAACAAAGTGTTGCGGGTTTAAACCATGTCATTCATGGGTCATATACCATCTCCTTTATCATGAACGTAAACCAAAGACTTGACTGTCCCCGATGCGGATCATCGACAGGAGTTATGCGACCTCGTCCATATACCGGCGTGAGGCACGGCACGTTGCGACAGCCTCCAATGTTCTCTTGCCGAGACCATTGAGGTATAGCTACAATTAATACATAAGTCCCAGTATGTTTCAGTGAGATCATGGTAGATTAGGTGAGGTACGTCTATGCACAACTTTGTCAATCATGCAGTCGCATTGTTGCCGCAACACAAGCGTAATTTTAGTGCCAACAGTTGCCATCGAGGGGACAACACCTGCGCACTGATACGTTCTGATACGTTCTGGCGCAAGTGGCCTCTGATACGTTTGTACATAGTTTCGTTTCAATATACTTAGAATTCTATTTGCATGTATCTTTGCATGCAACTAATTAGCACTTTTCACTTTTTAAGCGCATTTCCAGATTCTTGCAACTGCGCAGCCTTGACCGTGTTGCCACTGACCTCTGTTCCGCTTTCGGCAACTTGCAGGTTTGACCGGTGTGGATCGATGTGGAGCCAACGACCAAACTGAGAGTGGCTCCATTTCCCGAAAGGATCAAAGTCAGCGGAAGATGATGAAATTTGGTAACTGCTGAGGGCCATCACCTCGATGTACCCTGAATTTTGGGCAAATTCCTGGTAGAAAGGGAGAAAGGGATGAAGTACAACCCAGGGGTACGGTGAAATGACCCACAGACAATGAACTAACCTGTTTTAACCTGTTTTGTTGGCAGTCTCAGTCTTATTTTGTTTTGGCAGCACTGCATGATCGTACAGCACTTCCGCTGCAGGGTTTTGGGTGTTGTCAAACATAAGTCACGAAGATTTCTGAAGATTTTTTGTGTAGCTATTATGCCACCTCCAGCCACAGTATCATCACAAAATCAGTTACAATATCCATGACTAAACTTTCGGCACTTATTCAGCAGAGGCGACCCAGCGGCTTCTGTTGTGAGTCGTGGATAGCGCAAGGTGTGCAAAACAAAACACGATCACCTACTGTAGCATCACGTCCCTTGTCTTTGGCTTCGGTCTCCTGAAAGAGTAGCTAATGACTTGGGGAAACACACGGGAAGTTGGAGGAGCCAGGGGGGTGGTAGTGTGATAGCGTGATATTACATTCTTCTTACTGGTGCTTAGCAGGGAATGAGGGAATGATCCATAATCACTAGTAATAATCATCCCATTCCCCCAGTCCCATCCATTCCCTACTAAGCACCAGTAAGTCTTTTAAATAGCAAAAAATACTAAATGTTCTTGGGCCGTCTATTTGGGACCACTGAAAAAAAGACAGACTTGTCACTGACTTGCTGTTCGATTCGTAGCTATGGAATGTAGAGGACAGACATTCACAAGATTCAACTCCCACAATAAAACAACTGAAGGATCTGGGATGGGTCAAACTACTCAAAACCTAGTTTGTTCCATCTGAAGGGAGGGATGAAGATTCATTTCCCCATTTCCTCTACTGTCTCAAGGATGTTTGAAGACGACATGTCAGGGACACTTCTGACACCGACCCATGTTCTCCGATCGGCGTTTCTCATCCAGCCGTCCAAACCAACTTCCTTTCGATTGCGGGGTGTGGTTTCAAAATATATCATTTTTTGCATCCATTGTTGAGAGGATGGTTTAGCTTATCATATAATATTCTGTATTATGTATATATTATGTATTATATATATATATATCAATACTCATAATTATCTCTCTCCCTCTATATATATATATATACATGCATAATGAACATAACATTTGGGTGGATGAGATGAGTTGCAACCGGAAGGCACACAGTTCAAACCCTTCTGCAGACCTTCGCAACATCGCCTAGACTCGGCTGGCCATGGCAACAGAAGGTGCCACCTTGGTGAGGGCTGGTTATTTTGAGAGTATGACCATATTCAGTGGGTTTTTAATAATGGTTGGTGGTTTGGACCATTTTTTATTTTCCATAAGTGGGATAATCCTTCCCAACTGACTTTCATATTTTTCAGAGGGGTAGGTCAACCACCAACCAGTAATGGTTTTGATATATGATCCCGTCCTCAGGCCACCCAACTCCCCGAACTTTTGGCTTGGAGGTTTAGTTCGCTGGGAATGATTGACATGGGCAGCGACCGGGGTCGAAGTCGTCTCAGTTTCTGGTGGGCTCGGGCAATACGCATAGATACGCATAGATACGCATAGTATTATTGGTATTGATGGTATTTGGTACTTCCAGCCTCTTCCAAGCACTGCATGGTCTTTGAAGTCATGTCTGTACTCTGCAACTTTGGAGGTAGCCCAACCTGATCAGCAGATAGTTACCATCTCCCGAATGGACATTTCAAAAACCTTGCCAGACAGGGGTCGGAAGACTGCATTCCTCTGAAAAGTAGTGGTTCTCAGGGTCGAACTGTTGGGTGGTACTGTATCACCTACTGATTTCAAAATCACTTGCAGCCATTCCAGAGGCTGCAAGTGATTGTTTTTCAATGGCCACGCGGATGCCAAAAGGTAGATGTGATGTCGATGTATCTTTTGGGAATCCCAATCTTCATCAATTTGTTGCACTTCTCCGCACGCCTTTCATCTAAGCGCTCCCATTTTGGAACTATAGGCTTTCTATTGTTTGGGATTTATAGTATCTTATAGTTGTGCGACATGGAAATTGAAACTGATCAAGCTTTTGGGCTCAAGAAATTGCTGAGGGAACATCTCAAGTGCATGGAAATTGCGCGTCTCCATGGCTTCTTTAGCTGCTGGAGTCAGGTAGGGGCACCTGGAATCAGCTCGGAATTGTCAGGCACCAATTTCCCAGCGGTTGAAGCAGATTTTTCAAGGAAACCACAATTTCAATTTGACCATGTTCTATCGATTCCTACAGTAAATGATCTTTCAACATGTCTTGTGCACGAACCATGGATGATCTTGGAGGATAAAGTCTGCATGGGGTTTTCTTAAGGCTTAAGGCATGGGGGATCCAAAGTCACCATGGTTGTTTCAATACCAAAATGGTCATCCATGACTTGGATGGTTTTGGGATATTTTGGGTACCCTCCATTCTTGGAAACCTACATATATCTCCACTTATCTCCATATATTCGTAGATAAGGTAGGAAAGAAACGGATCTTGTGGGACTTGAATGCGTTTTTCGGACATGTTTTATCAACATCTTTTTTTGGGGGGTCCCTCCATGTGGGAAGGCATGCATTGCATGCATCAAACCTATCGGACCCTAAGAATGGATTCTTAAAAAGGTCCTTTAAAAAGGCCAAACATCATGGTTGGAGCCGAGGTCCAAACAACAACTTTGACATAAAGGTTCTTTACTACAAATCATTCCCAAAATTGACTCAAAATGATTGATAATTACAAAAAACATGCATGGGTCAACTTTGCATGATCATTTGATACGTTATAGTTACCCTCTGGTAAATTAACATAGACCCTGAAAATAGCCTAGTTTTAATGGAAACTAATCTTCCAACCCCTATCTGCCAGGGTCTATGTTAATTTGTCAATATGTTATAATACAGATTGACATTTCCTGGCCCAAATGAGAACATATAATCAGCCAGTAGAATGAAACTCATCAATTTTCTTAGCAGAGTATCTAGGAGGTCAAACTGGGTTTAGGGGATTGGTTGCCCATTAAATCCAATTGTAGGGCTTTGGCAAATTTTAAGTTGCCAATCATACTCAGCAGCTTGCTACTCTTCTGCAATCAAACATGGCAACGGGAATTCCCCTATACAGTATATAAATGAATGTAAATGATAAATGTTACCCTCCAGTAAATTAACTTGTTGACCCTGATTTTATAACCCATTTTTAATGGTTTCACTAGTCTTCCAACCCCTAATTATCTGCCAGGGTCTATGTTAATTTACCAGAGGGTAATGGGACAATCATCTATAGATTGGTGGATCTTCCAGCCGTCGTTTTCGGAAACCGAAAGTGACATATTTTGGGACATACCCCACTGGTATGAAAATACCACATACCCTCTGGTAATGACTAACATAGCTATTGAAAATGGTGATTTATAGTCGATTTTCCCATTAAAAATTGTGATTTTCCATAGCTATGTTAGTTTACTAGAGGGTAAAATGATCCCAAGGGTTTCAACGCCACCAGCAGGGTATCATATAGGGTATCTACGACTCGCAGGCGCGGCTTTGCCAAAGCCGCGCGGGTGTTGCCTTTGCAGCCGCGCCGTGTCGTGCCGTTGGCGAAAATGTCCAGGCGGGGTGGATGGAAGATTTTTTCTGGGGAGAATTTGTAAGCATTATCCTTTGGTAGATTAACATAGACATACATGGCTATGGGTCAAAACCCTGGCAGCTAATGAAGCCTAAAATAGCTAGTAAATGGATGTTCATCCCACTAAAATTGATAATAATAGGTTTTGGCCCAATCCCACATAGACCCTGAAAATCGTGGAAACAAATCTGAAGTACGCCCTGGCAGGGTCTATGTTAATTTACTGGAGGGTACTAGTTTTTTTTTTTAAATGAGATATGGGGATTGAAAGGGATATTATAATATTTTATATTAATATATATATATTATATTATATGTTATATAGCCAACTACTAAATCAGAAATTGGATGATCTCCTGGGGATGCTCATCAGCGGGATAGCCATTTTTTCAGGATTCCCAAGAGATCGGAAGCTAAGAGCTGGGTGCAACATATGTGTTTGGCAACTCTCATGTTGGTTGGTTATAACCTGATATCCTATACATCCCATATGTTTGTTTTGGGACTATTGGGAATTCTTTGGGATTCCTGGGACATATCATAAGCCTACAGTGATAGTGTGTATATGTTTTATATAAATTATTATTGTTTGAAGACCAACAATCAAGCATATGGGGATATATGGCCAGCCATTCTATGGTGATATTTATTGATACTTGTATATTATACAGTAAGCAGCACCAGATGAAGCTTTTGGGTTTGACTGAAGATGACGGACACCCTATAGGGTTGCAGTTTTAGTAAGGAATATGATGAACAACAATCGGTTTAACATAGGCACCCTAGTTTCAGACAAAGCCGCGTTGGATTCAATTGATATTACATAATACAAAATACTACAAACAACATATTATATTAAGATGGGGCGATGACCAGCAAAAATGGGGCGTTAAGCAACAACAGAATAGGATAAGATTGACCCAAGCAAAATGTCAATGGATTGGTTTAAGGGAAAATCTTAACCGGAAACCATAGATTTTCCCATTAAAATTGGGGGGGCTTTCCTGTAAAGTTTCCCTTAAACCAATCCATTGAAAATGGGAGTTCACGAAGATTCATCCACCAAGGAGATTTTGATCAGTAACCCTCAGGATTTCAGCCGGCTATCAGGGATCCCGAGGGTAAACTAAGTTACCCTCTGGTACTTTAAGATAGCTATTGAAAATGGCCGTTTATAGTTGATTTAGCCACAAAAAATGGTGATTTTCAACAGCTATGTTAGTTTACCAGAGGGTAGATCTGGAAAAGCCAACCATTTGTAGATCATTTTTCAAACGGAAAACACCATGGCTGAGTTTACCACATCGAGCCCTCTGAGTTTTCTGCAGGCGGCAACTGGGTCTCACGATCAAGACCACGACCGGAGGGGATGTGACCGTCATCCGATGCGATAGTTGGGGTGGCTATAGAAAAAAGGATGTGTCTGGAAATAGGGACGTATAATTAAGCCACACATGGCGATTTTACAGTAATATTTTTAACGGCATGATGATTCACCATTGGACTTAGTCTACTGTATTGCCTAGCATTTTTAGGTACCAAACCTTTTTTTTGGCCGTGAGAATCTCCAAATGTTTGTCCCAAAAAATACTGGATATGGACACCAGCGCAAATTCTGGACGGGAATTTGACACCTCTTTGGACACACGTCCTTGTTGGATGATGTGATTCAATTTGTCAATATCCATATATATATGTATATATATATATCCATATATATATATATGTATATATCCATATATATATGTTTACATTCATATAGATCCGTATAACCTTTGTGGTTGACAACTGTGTCACACTTACTGTACCACACACATATACGGTATATATATATATAATGAGATCCATATACTGTTGTTTATCCCCCCAAAACTGTATTCCTTCGTGCGGCCTGTGGCCTGTGGGGCTTCAGCTCCAGTGGGGATCCACTGGCCACCATTATAGGATATTATAGGTCTGTAGCTAGGTAGCCTTTTCCGGGATGATCTATGACTTTATCATATCCGGGGAGTGAAGATGTTTGCAGATTTGGGGGACCACAGGTGGACTCGTCATGACTCGTAGCATTCAATCCGCATTTTTTGGCACCCCAATACGGATTTTGATTGAATGGGATCCCTACTGTAGCTGCTGCTTGACTGCTTGACACAAAACTTGGCTGAATTGGCACACACACACACACCAACATGAGTTGACTGTGTTGACTAGCACAGACAAGGCAGATATGCATTGAATACTCACCCAAATGGCTGGTAAACATCTGAGGCATGGGTTCAGAATCGTGGTATGGTTCTAATTCCTTTGCTGAATTTCTTATTTCTTGTTGGGCATCCAAGTTGCTGTGAAGTCCAGTTGCTTGGCCAAGGACTCTAGACTGAGTTGCACCGACCCAGAGCAGCAGAAGCTTTTGAAGGACTCCGTCAGGGATGACATGGCTTAAGGTTGTCTCACGTTGGCTCAGGATGACACCAATGACACCCCAGTTTTTGGTGCTGAAGTGCTAAAACTCGGCAAGCCCCCATGACTCATTGACTACAATGTGGGGCCCCCCAGTTATAAGATGGTTTTTAAACCCCATTAACTATAGTTATAGGTACCATAAACCATAGTTATTGGAGTTATAAACCAACTTAGCTATCTTGGGGGCCCCACTTTGTAGGAAGCATATTCAAAAACCTCCTCCGCCGATTTTTCTTGGGACCTCCGCAGTTAGTTCCGCAGTTCCGCCAAACAGGAGATGTTCAGCAAGGGTGCGGCAAATGGGATCCTTGGGCGACGCTTAAATGTGGGTTTCTAACCCGAAAAAAACATGATCAAACATGGAATTTAGCCTCTGGTAAACTAACATAGCTATACATTATACTAGGAAAATCAAGTATAGTATCTATAATATCTATACATCATATTTATTAATGTACTATAGATATACCCTCTGGTAAACTAACATGGCTATGGCAAATCACCATCTTCAATGGGTAAATCCACGAACTAACTGGGCCATGTTCCAAAGTTATGTTAGTCATTACCAGAGGGTAACCATTAATCGCCAGGGCTATGGTTAGATCCACAACACATCAACTGATCTCATCCTCCCGTCATTGCTGTTTGCAACCCAACTCCGTTTTTTTTTGTCATCATTATCATTTATCATAGTGCGCTTGCTACTGTACCATTCTTACTTTTTTATTGATTGCTATGAATACTACTCTGACGATGACTGTTTTCGATTCTACCTAAATAATCATGAGAACAACTGAGACCATCTTAGACCCGGCTTAGATGATGATCATTGTAGTTTTCGAATAGATAGCATCATGTCGTCCAAGCTACTGTTACCCAAGAAACGGGTACGGATTGAAATTGGGTACGCCAAAATGGATGGCTTGATACGCAACCATGACCAATTAATGCGAGTTTATTGCCAGTTCAGACACAGACTCAAATAGTTGGCACGTCTGATTGATCAATGTAAAGTATTTGTGTCGGGGTCATCGTTGTTAGCCTCTGGAAATTTAACATAGCTGCCCTGGCTGTGGACACTTGGCCGTTTATAGATGATTTATAATTATTGATTTATGATGATCTATCATGATTTACTGATTAAAGGTTGTGGTTTCACATAGCTACATCTATGTTAAATTACCAGAAGGTCATCTCCCATTCAATATTCCATGAAGTATCCGTTATTTTAGATCAAGGATTCACCTTTCCCCAGCGCTTTTTTCAATGGTTGGGAAATCCTGCACCACCAATTTTGGATGGTTGAAACATGTTGAAAGCCTATAAATCATGGGATGTTTATCACATATCAACTGGTGATTTGGATTTCTCTGGCCCATCCACCACTATTTCCCGAAAAATCCCTCTGGTAATGACCAACATAGCTATGGTATAGATGGCCCAGTTAAACGTTCGTGGATTTACCGATCAAAAATGGGGATTTTCCAGTTCGCTACGCAAGCGTTTACCAGAGGGTAAATCCCATAAGACAAACCATGGCCATGCTGAGCTTCAACCATCTTCACCCATTCCATCAGTGAGGCACAACTGGGATACCATCTTCGAAGCCTATGGGCAGATCAGCAACCCGGAGCCGGCGGTGGCCCGGCCATGAGAAAAATTGGGAGATCACCGGTGATTTTTTAAGGGATTTACTAGGGTTTCACCTTGAACACCAGGGAAATAGTGCTTCAGAACGGTGAAGAATTGGTAATAATGGCAACTCAATTGGATATTATCAATTCCAGTAAGCAGCTAAATTGGATATTATCACTGGCAATTGTGATATTTACTAGGTTTCACTGGGATTTACTCTTTGCCAATTAGCATAGCGAACTGGAAAATCACAATGTTTCAAAATGGAAATCATCGAACTAAATGGGATTTGTGCACGTCTATGTCAAGTTACCGGAGGGCAAGTAATGATGATACCATTTACTATCATTTACTGCTATTCTTGTTGTCTATGAATAGCGTTGCTAGTATCGGGACTGCTGCCGATAGTGGTAGCAGTAGTCTAGCAATAAATCGGAAAAAGTTTAGAAGTCAAACTTCCGACAATATGGACAGATGGAAGAGCAGAGGTGGGAAGAGTCAGAGAAGAGAAGAGAAGAAGAAAGAAGATCAGAGAAGAGAAAGAGTCAGAAGAAAGAAGATGTATGTGTGCGATAAGGTAGAAAAGTCGCGAAACACTGTGTTTTTCCAATGATTTGTGGCTCCGGAGGGTCGAGAAGTAGGCTCGCTAAAGCGGCGGGTGCGGAGCCACCTGGCCAGATGAGAGATAAAAAACTGCACGCCGTTGTGGCGCGAAGCATATTTCGAAGTCCAAATGCAAAACACACCAGGTTTGAAGCATGTTTGTAAGTTGAGATGTTGAAAAAGCGCACGCCATTGTGGCGCGAAGCACATTTGGAAGTGAACATGCTAAAAAACCACATGTTCGGACCACTCTTGGACCTTCAACTGCGCCACACTACACTACAACAAAACAATACAACTACAACTGCAACTGCTACAACAACTACAACTACAACTTCAAACTTCGAACACACTACAGCTACAAGTACAACTACAACTTCAACTTCAACTAAACTACAACTACAACTACCTCTACACTACAACTAACTTTACAACTACAGCTTCAACTTCAACTACACTACAACTACCACTACCACTACCACTAGACTACACTACAACTACAGCTACAACTGTAGCTACAACTGCAATTACAGTTACAACTACCACTACAACTACAACCACAAGTTTAACTTCAAATGCACTACAACTACAAGTACAAGTACAACTAACACTACAACTTGAACTACAACTACATTACCGCTACAGCTACAACTACAGCCTCAACTTCAACTACACTACAACTACAAGTACCACTGCAGCTACCACTACCACTACACTACACCTACAAAGAACAACTACAACTACAACTTCAGCTTCAACTACACTACAACTACAACTACAATATAACTACAACTACAACTACAACGAACACTGCAACTACAACTACACCTACACCACACCACACCACACCACACTACATTCAGCAGCTGTGGGTGAGGTGACCACTGCAACCACTCGAAAAAGCACAGCTCCAACCACCTTTCGGTCCATCAGTGGATTCCCTCTGCTATCCATGCACCACAACAACTCACCTCTCCTATTATGGCTGTCCTTGAAACTTCCGCCACCGCCTTGTACGGTACTACTGGTATATACTGATGATAGTTGTGATGCTGCCAGCAATATTAGTGATGATAGTAGTAGTAGTAGTAGTAGCAGTAGCAGTAGTAGTAGTAGTGTGGTAGTGGTAGTGGTAGTGGTAGTGGTAGTGGTAGTGGTAGTGGTAGTGGTAGTGGTAGTGGTAGTGGTAGTGGTAGTGGTAGTGGTAGTGGTAGGGGTGGTGGTAGTAGTAGTAGCAGTAGTAGTAGTAGTAGTAGCAATAGTAGTAGTAGTAGTAGTAGTAGTAGTAGTAGTAGTAGTAGTAGTAGTAGTAGTAGTAATAGGAGGAGGAGTAGTAGTAGTAGTAGTAGTAGAAGTAGAAGTAGAAGTAGAAGTAGTAGTAGTAGTAGTAGTAGTAGTGGTAGTGGTAGTGGTAGTGGTAGTGGTAGTGGTAGTGGTAGTGGTCGTGGTCGTGGTCGTGGTGGTGGTGGTGGTGGGGGTAGCAGTAGCAGTAGCAGTAGCAGTAGCAGTAGCAGTAGCAGTAGCAGTAGCAGTAGCAGTAGCAGTAGCAGTAGCAGTAGCAGTAGCAGTAGGAGTAGGAGTAGGAGTAGGAGTAGGAGTAGGAGTAGGAGTAGGAGTAGTAGTAGTAGTAGTAGTAGTAGTAGTAGTAGTAGTAGTAGTAGTAGTAGTAGTAGTGATAGTGATAGTGATAGTGATAGTGATGGTGATAGTGATAGTAATAGTAATAGTAATAGTAAGAAGAAGAAGAAGAATAACGCAGCTGATAATCGCAACAGAATTACGACATATTACAATATATAATTCTTTTGAACTTTATGTTTTTTCTGTACTGGCTATGACGTGTTCCCACGTGTTCCCAATGTTATTATATGATATTATATGCTTAGGTCCATCTTAGGTAAACCAACTCTAGGATCTTTCAATGACGAGCCCTGTTGGCTTTGTTGGAAGATGGTGGATACCCCAATTTATGGCCATTCAAATGGGAACGCAATGATGTGATACACCATCAAAGCCTGTTGCGCCACCTACGGGGGCTAAGTTGTCGACTGCGTTCCTGTCCTTGGCGGAGAAGTGTGGAAAGATCAAAGAGGTTGGCGGAGATGTTGGGGGATACCGTACCCAAATGACCTTTTCAATGGAAATATTTGTCATAAAACATTGGAATTCGGGTTTTTGTCTGAATCTTCAAACAAGGCCAGATTAGTGACTTTAAGATTGGATGGCTGGACGCTGGCAAATGCTAATGTCTTGTTCAGTTTTAAGCCATTCAGCAGTGAATGCTGATTGATAGGAGATCGAATTGTTGACAGAATGTGAGATTTGGAGATGGAACATGGATATTTGACAGGCAAATTATTTATAAATGGGCCACTTTCCATAGCTAATCTAAATTGCCAGAGGGTGTTTCCATAGTTTATCTCCAGGTTTGCTAGACAACTCCCCCATCTAAAGGTTTTTTCCTTTGCGCCACCTGGTGCTTCCTCTGTGGGGATGGAGGTCCCATTTATGGATCATTTTCTTCTTGGAAAATGGGGATGCCTCAGTTTGCCGTGGGTCATCTTGCCATGAGGGTACCCTCTGGTAATGACTAACATAGCTATTGAAAATGGCCATAGAAATAGTGAATTTTCCCATTAAAAATGGTGATTTTCCATAGTTACGTGACAGTTTACCAGAGTGTTGATTTCGGATGTGGTTGTACTTCATGGGAACACTGTTGCATCCCAACCTGCGGCGGTTTCATCCATATTTTCTACCACATGAAGATTACCAGATACGGGTCAAGGTACTACTTTCCGACCTTTGACGGCTATCCCCAGAAAGGAATGGTAGCCCTCAAGAATTGAAAGGGTTGATTATGGTTTAAAGTTTAGGAATCAACTCTTGATTTTTTTACATCAAGAGATATTAAGTTATATATTTGATGATAAGTGTATATATATATACACATATACATACATGATTAATTGTCCAAATATTGATTTGCTCCGGGGTTGAAATTATTGATGCATACGAGAAGGTATTTTCTTTCTCCCATGAAGGCCTTTGACGTCTATGCCGAGTTGCGGCGGCGGAAAGAACTGACGGCGCAGCGCTGAGAAGAGACGGATGGGACAAAACCGATGAGATTTTCCGGTATGAATTGGGAGATTATGAGATTATAACATCCATACAAAACCATCCAAAAAATATTACCATAAATGAGGTTTACCACATTAATTACTTGATATTTTGATACTTGTTGGTGTGAAAAGGGAACTGTGGGTTTTAGCTCATACCCTCCTGAAAGCTTGTCTTGTGTCTGAGTATCCTGAATGCGGGGCGCAAAATGAGCATTGAACCAACACAAATTATGGATTGAATCTGGTTGGGGTGGTTTAGGTATCTTGAATCTACAACCTATAATTCGCATGCTATTCAAAACAAGGCTCTTTCTTAGACAGAGGTTTACGTCCTGAAAACCGAATGTCATTCAAACAAAGAATCGATCAACGTTCAGTTTGTTGAAAGGAGCGGACCCTGAAATCTCGCAAGAAACTGGATGGTTTGAGACTGACAGTACAAGGACCAGGATTTAGATTTACTGCAACGGAAACTCCATGTTTATTGATTTACAATCATTTACAGTTGATTCTCCTATTTATGGGGATTCTTTATCCAGATTCGTGCTTTTGGCATGGAAGAAATGCACTCGGTGAATGGGGAAAGATGGCACAATGGTGCTCCAACCTATTGTCCATTTTCAATGGCCATTTCAGCTACCTAACTTGGAGGTACCTACCATAAGTTTTTGGCCTGAGGATGCCTAAGGGCTAAATTTCATGGGACCCCCCAAAACCTGGCTTTATATAAATTATAGTACAGTTAGTACAGTTAGTACAGTACTTTTATTTTAGGGTCCTGTAATTCCCATTGAAATTCCCATTGATCCTATGGGCAAATGATGGGCGGTCCAGGCCTGGGGTGGATGTTTTTTCCACCGGTCCAGGCCCGGATGTACACCGACATGATCCGCATTGCCGGTCGGGTGCATTCCGCCATGGCGCATGCCATGTCCCTCGGTTTCAAACGATGATGGTCGGATGGGGTCGGGTGTAGAGCTGGGTAACTCAAGATATCCTAAGTTCTACTGAGTAAAACTTTGAATTTCAAATTATGGTGTATGATCAACAGCGTGAAATCGAAATCGATTTTGGAAGTTAGTCGAACATGTCCAGTGCTGTATATTGAATTTCTTGCTTGCCCTGGAAAAAATCACATTTCACACAAATCTCGAAACTGGAGACTGGCTTTGCATATAAGTAGAACATGATCTGATCTTGGTAGCTATATTTTGTTTTTTGCGCCATCAATAAGATGTCATAGAGTCATACCTTAAGACAGAAGAGTTTCCGTGTTTTTTCTTCCAGAAACCGATCAAAGCATTTTTCAAGCCATAAAATTTGGGGAGTAAACACCCAGTGACTTGGTGACTCGTGGGATCCAGGTTGGCGGACATGAAAGTTTCTCGTCTGGATCCCAACCCACCAAACTACTTGGCGCTTCTGGACCTGGGGCGGCGATGTGGGCGTCACTGGCGACTTGGGGGTGGGGAACATGGAGACTTTCAGGACATTTTTATGGATATGTTGTAGATATGTTATGGATATTTTATGGATAGTTGATGGATATTTTATGGGTTTATCTGGCCAATCTCGAACCACTCAAAATTGATGGCTGGATCTCGGCCAAACATACCAGTGAATCATCGAAGATTTATGGCTTGAAGCAGCGAACAGTGGTGGGTATATCTGGCCAAAGGGGCATAAGGGCAGTGTAGCAACTCCACATTTGAAGTCATCAAGCATACCCTCTGGTAAACTGTCACATAACTATGGAAAATCAACACCATTTGTCATGGGAAAACTCACTATTTCTATGGGCCATCTATATATACCATAGCTATAACTGTTAAAAATGGTGATTTTCCCATTAAAAATGGTGATTTTCCATAGCTTTTTGTTAACGTTTACCAGAGGCTTTCAAGGTGGACAAGGTGTCAGGCTCCGAACCGAGTCCAGGAGATCTACAAAAAAGAGAAAGACGCTGCAGGCAGGGGCAGCCGATGCTGCCATATGGTAGACTTACCAGGTGCTTGGGATAGATATGGGTATGGATCAATACCTATTAATACCTAATTTTTAGTGGGATGAACATCCATAAATCCCAGCTATTTTGATGTGAACTACAGGGGTACAAGGTTTTGACACACTGCCAGATATATCTGTCAAAAATAAGTGTAAAGAAATGTTATATCATGTTATCTACTGTAAGTGTAAATATAAGTTAAATATTACATGTTTGCGTGTTTTTTGGTTGAAGGAACTTCTAACCTACTAACTACGGTCATGAATCATCTACACCGCCGGACAAGTATAGATACTGTGATACTCCTATATCTAAGTGAGCAACCACCAGAGCTGCTTTCCGCTTATGAACTTGATTCGTATACAAGGACATATAAGGGTCAAAATAGCAAACTAAATCGGGATCAGTTAAAGTTAAGTATTCCAATATATTCCAATCCAAGAACAGGGAATCCTAATCTTAGCCAGCCAGTATATGTAGGTTGCAGCTGGTCACACCAAATGATCCTTCACTTTTCTATCTTTGTGGAGATTCCCCACGTATGTCTGTATTATACATTAGGTGATTAGATCACATCAAACTACGATCACATTACATGACATTACATGACATTACATTACATTACATTACATGTATACTGGTGCTGGTGTATACACTATTTGCGCTTATTCAAAACATTTCAAAACAACACATTTTGGGGTACAGCAGTTTTGTGCCGCCAGGGGCCAGAACTTTGTGGCAGCAGATGCGACAAGACGCGGTTCCAGGTTCAGAGGCCGGCCATGGGTTCCCAATCCCATTGGAGAATTTTCGTGGAAAATCCTCGAAGTGGGATAAATATCAAAAAAAACATCATTTGAGTTTGGTTCAACGGTTAACCCATGTTAACCCCTCTGATTAGTTTGATTCACATTTTAGTTAAATCTCACTTTGTTTCTGAGACAGTACATTTTAGTCACGTATAAAAACCACCAGTTTAGTTACGGGTCAATCTCCATTCTTTTGTCATGTATGTGTATCAAGTTCACATGTTAGTTGGTTGCATCCCTAGATTTGTTAGTTGGTTGACTAAATCTAGGGTTTTGTCGGTTGAGTCTCCAATTGAACTCTCCCATGTGCTCCAGTACTTATGAATATTTACCAACATTTACCCCAAAAATGCCCATGTGGGTAAATATTCCAGCACCATGGAGCATATATCATCATATATCATCATATATCATATTGTTCATTTAACATATTAATAGCATTTAATAGCATTTAATAGCATTTAATAGCATTTAATAGCATTTAGTAGCATTTAATAGCATTTAATAGCATTTATATAATAGCATTTAATAGCTATAACTATATAGTTGTTTGGCAATGGGCCAATGTGCCATTTTCCATCGCAAAATGGCATCCAGGTGATGCTGTGTTCCGTCATGTCGGTCATTGCGAAGTCTGGGGACGTGGCTGGAGCCGAGGTGCTTGGTGTTTTTTTTCTTTTTTTCTGAATGATCACTTAATTAACGAATCTTAAGGATGTACATATCATTCATTATCATTCCATATGTTTTTTTTTGGTTAGCCTCCAAGTAAACTATATGTTCATTGGGGTGTCCGACATCATTTTTTTTCTCATTTTTTTGGGTATTCTTCAGTAATATACGAAATCGATGTGGAAGTCAATGGTTTTGCGCTTGGAAAATGATCTACGTTCATGGTGGGTGTTCCATATTTTATTTTTGTTGTATTCCCCCCAAAAAATGGCAAATGATGTGGGTATGTGTGTGAAAACTTGAGATCCAGAATATTCATGTTGCTGAAAGCATCTGGTTTTGGGATACTGCGATTTTCACCGTTGATCACCATCTTTACCGTGCAACCCATGAACGCACCTGGACATGTTGCAGGCATTGTTGCTGGAGGCAGACTGCCCCATCATCACTGCGCACTTCAACTGTTGCCTAGATGCCTGCCACGTCGCAGGCATTGATGGGATGTTCACCAGGGTTCCCGGGTTGGTAAAAAGCTCTGGAGTGAATGGTTTTTGTGCTGTAGAAAGCATTCAGAACCATGGTATTTTGCAGATGATGAAATCGCAGTGTTTGAAGAGAAGGAATGCCTTGCGCGCCCATTTTTTAAATCATTGCAAAGAACCCTGACTCTGCCAAAATGCTGGCAGCAGGTGATGCTGATTCAGCATTTCGATGCTTGGGGCAAGTTGAGTGCTGCTTGTGTCCTTTGAGACAGTGCCTACACTCACACTTTGCCAGTTCTTAAGATTCACCGTCCTTGAAATTTCCCTGATTTTTCTCGTTTCTAGTATTTGTGCACAAAAACCTTGTACAAAGTGGGGCCCCCTAGATAGCTAAGTTGGTTTATAACTCCAATAACTATGGTTTATGGTACCTACAACTATAGTTAATGGGGTTTATAAACCATCTTATAACTGGGGGGCCCCACATTGTATCTACTTCGGATCTTCATGGAATCTGTGGCTTGCCATTTGACCAGCGACCAGTTCTGTTTCGAGGAATTCTGGAGGAGATGAAAGCGGCGAACTGTTCTCCGGATGTGATTTCCTACAACTCCGCCCTGGGCGCCATTGACCGTGCCAAAGGCGGCAAAGAAGAGCGGGACACCTGGCCATTTGTTAAAAACGAGAGATGGGACAGGACGGGACGGGGGTTGATACAGGATGATACAGGGGTGATTTGACTATCAATTTTCATGGGGATATAATGGCATGTATATGAGCTACAGCCAAAATTTAGGTTAATGGAGAGTAGTATTCGAGATATCTTTATTATTTTAAAATTGTGCTGGGGCTTGGAAAACGATACACTCTTCAAAAAACGATAACATTTGCTTATATACCGAAACCTGAATAACGATAATACACTCTTCAAAAATTGATGACTTGGAGCCATATACAAAATATTGACCGTGGCCCGTATATATACGTATATATATATATATTATATGTATTATATGTATATACGTATAATTATAATATAATATATATATATATATGTAAAATATAATGTATTATTATTATATTTATTCATATTTTATTATATTATATCTTATTATATATTTTTTTATTGTAACTATCTATTGTAGTTACCTGCATATATATAATTACAGAGTATATTCGTTATCACTATGGCTATTGTGGATATGTGGATATAAAACAAACCAAACCAACCATTTTATGTGATTATTTGCTGGGATATCATGGGATTTATATACCCTCTGGTAAACTAACATAGCTATTCAACATGGCCATTTATAGTTGATTTACCCTTTTAGTGGTGATTTTCCATAGTTATGTTAGTTTACCAGAGGGTAATCTACAGTGATGATTGTGTAAAACTCTGGGTTTGTCTAACAATTAGAGATTCACATCCCAAAGAGCCTTTTTCAAAGAACACACCCATGATGTTCCCAATTTCGGACAAACTCATTTGGGGATGGGTCAAAACCCTGTACCCCTGTAGTTCACATCAAAATAGCTGGGATTACTGGATATTCATCCCACTAAAAATGGTATTAATAGGTATTGATCCATACCCATTTGTTGACTGGGGTTGGGTGGAGCTCAATAGAAAGTTCCAATGCATCTCGGGAATCTCGCGGCCAGATGCCAGATGCCCAGATCCCAAATGATTCGGTGGTGACAGCAAAATCCGGTCAGCCTATGTCAAACATGGGTTGATTCACCGCTACATACCACCATACCACTACCATTTGACTGTCATGAATAAGATGGCTTATACTCTTTGATACTCTTTGACAATTGAACAAAAAAAAAGGGTCCAACAAGCAAGAGCCAATCTTTTGCTGATCAAATCAGTCAATTCTGCCATTCTTGCTTGACTGCGGCCGCATTTTTCCGCATTTTCTGGCATGTCTTGCCCAAAGCGGACAGTTTTAAAATCAATTTATATCAATTTCCCTTATCAAACGTTCAAAAATTCCAACACTTCGTTCTGCAGGGGAGCGGGCCATTTAAGTCTCCGTTATTTTTCAGTTGACTGCTAGTTCCTTAATGGATTTCCCCTTTGAAATGGCCATGGGGTGTGGGGTATACCATACTACACCCCAATTTCAATCACATCCAGATATTTATATAATTATATATATATATATGTGGATTATATAATTATATGATATTATATGTATCACATTACATCCCAGCAAATATGCCCAAGAATTCTAAATCCGTAGGTTTTTCATACAACCAGATAGCCCTTTAAGGGTACCTTCCAGTAGCGGGTCGACGCAAAGGATCGACTTCTCCAAGACATGGAGAAGAATGAGGACCTTGGGGGCCAGCGGGGAGGACTAACCGGATCCTGGTTTTCATAGAGCCATGAAAGTTACCCTGGGGATTTGAAGCAACAAACCATGGGAATTCCATGGGAATTTAAGATGATTTACCCTCTGGTAAACGTTAACAAAAAACTATTGAACATGGCCATAGAAATAGTGAATTTTCCCATAAACAATGGTGATTTTCCATAGTTATGGGACAGTTTACCAGAGGGTATAGCCCGTAGTTGATTGGTGATTGGTTATTAGATGTTATTAGGATATTAGGGATGTATACCCCTATAATTGATGAAATAATATGAAATGTATACCCCTATTAGAGACTTCACCATCAAGACTTTGGGGTTTCATGTAAAGGTGAAACTGTTGAAGATATATGGGGATATAGTTGATCATTAAATGATTGTTGATTGGTTATGAAATCCAGAGTTCTACTACCTGGTTATTGAAGATTATTATAGCCCATATTAAGAAAAAACTATCAACCAACTAGTATTTCATGAGATGGGACAACGGGTATTTTTAATGGCTCAATTCGTTTGGGTTGAGGATATGCAGACTGAATCAATCAGGGGGAGATGTAGCAACCATTAAATGGATGATAATGGTATCTTATTGTATATGTATGAACTCTACAGTGTACGAAACACCGTGTAGCGGTAGGCCCCTCCCCAAAAGCGATACCCCCCCGGCCCAGGCCACAGACAGATAGGCCCTTTCCTCCTTTCCTTTCCTCTTCCGGAATGAGAGGCGCTGCTTCCTCTTCCTTCCTTTTCTTTCCTCTTTTGTCGTTTCTCTTCCTTTTTTTTGTTCTTTTCTCTTTCTTTTTCTTTCTTTCCGCTTTCCTCTTCCTTTCCTCCCGTCCTCTTCCTCTCTTCTTCCTTTCCTCCGCCTTTCCTCTTCATTCATGTCTTGTTCCTTCCCTCTTCCTCTGTTCTATCTGTTCTTCCTGGTTTCTTCCTCTTCTTCCTTTTCCTCTTCCTTTCCTTGTCCTTTCCTGACGCAGTTTGTTTCTCCATCTTCATACCAGACCATGGTTACATAGCGATAGGGCACCCCCAAAAGCGATACCCTTCGTTTCAGCATGGCGAAGACAGAGAATTTTGACGGCGGCTCATATCTATATGATTCTATATATATTTATTAATTCAATATGATTATAATATATGTGTGTACATGTATTAAGACATCTACATAGTTGTATTCTCATATATATATATACATATGTAAGACTTTGGGTGTGTCTGAAAATTGGGTACCCCCAAGTTATGGCAATTTATAAACATGGGGAACATGATGATTTTTCACATGTTTTTTTTTTAATCAGATATTCAGACACTCCACTTTTTGCGGAACGGCATCATTTTTAATCAAACAGGATTCTCTCCAGCTAGTGAAACAGGATGTTTCAGTAGGTTGAGCCTTCGGTCCCGAGTGGTCAGGTTCAGCCCAATGAACTCTTCATGGAAAGACACATCGCTTGTGTCCTCTGCATTCCCCAGCAGGTGCTTTTTCAGTGCGGGAGGGGTGATCCTTTCTTTGACCAATAAACCGGCGGATTTGATGAATTGATGGGCTTTTGCTTGTGCTATGATGGGATTCCATAATATTCCATAGGATTTCCTAGAATTTCAGAATTTCCAGTTCCATATATGAATGATTGGTCCCAAATGACGAGCATATGATTGGGATGGTTTGGATCCACCGAGCAATAAACTCACTTAGAAGACACTCCTCATTTCTTAGGTCCTTAGGTGGTTTCAGTGGGGAAAAACATGCAGATACGAGGGCTTTCCTAAAATGGGAGATCCCCAAAACCATAGGTTTTAACATTGAACTAGTCTAGTCTAATTTTTGATGATTTGGGGTAGCCATGGGTACCCCCATTTCAGAAAACCACCATATGTAAGTCAATACTGGGTATAATATGGTATAATATAAGCCTCGGTTTGGTTGGTTGATGAACTTTTTTTTGCATTATGCATGGCCATGCATGCCAGATGAGGGTCTCTAGATTTTATCAGAGGTGCTGCCTGCCTCCGCCTGCCTCCGCCTGCCTCGGACCTCAACCGCTCCAGATCTCAGTGGGCACTCCCTGGCCTCAACCGCAAGCGCCAGATGTCAGTGGGCACTGTCGGACCTCAACGACGAGCTCAACAGCGAGAGCCAGATCCTAGTGGGCCTGCCAGACCTCAACGGCAAGAGCCAGATGTCAGTGGGCACTGCGGGGCCTCAATTGCGAAGATGCCACACAGAATTTCGTAGAATGTCAGATAGTATGTCAAATAGATTCAAATAGAATGTCACCAAATATATGTTAGAATATGTCAAAAATATATGCATTGAAATGCCACGGTTGGGATCGCTCGAAGTAAAGTAATCGCATTTTTTCAAGGAACATGTCACATCATTTCACCAGTTGACATGGGGTCAAGGCATATTCCTCAAAGCACTCAGCAAGTGGATCCTTTCCCTTGTGCAAGCTGGTGCCCCCCCAAGTTATAAGTGGGTTATAATCCCATTAACTAGTTCGATATATCATGATATATCACCAACAAAAACCATAGTGACATTGGACTTATCTGCACCAACTTAGCTAACGAACTGGGGCACCTTTCCGTTGTGGAGACGACCTGCCAGGGTGCCAAGTTGACCTCAGAGTTGATTCAAAATCTCCCCGAGGAGGCACGTCGGTGGGACGCGGCGGAGTGACTTTGTTCCCACTGAGGTGGAACCAAAGGAAGGACCGTTGTGTTGCCACAGTGGAACAGGGGAATTCATCCATAAGTTTTATGTGGGGATGATGTAACCATAGATTCTGATTCGGATTCACCAGAATAAGATGTGCAATGATGCAAAAAGGAACCGTTTTCGCGGAACCGGGAGTGTAGTATTTTGATTTTCGTTGCAGAAAGTTACCAACTCAATGGGACTAAGTTGTAGCGACAGCTATGGAAGCAGGTCTTTGGGTTGTGACTAATTTATCTTTCACTCCATGGGCAAGTTTTTCTTGATATTTCTTAACATCCAGGAATCCAGAATGTAAGTTCCTCGATTTATTTTCATGTTCCATCCTTTTTTGTCATCCGTATTTGTCAAACATTTGGTTGAGGAGAATCACTATAGTTGCTAAGTCAATCTAAATCATGAATTTGTGGTTTCTTTTCTTCGTTTTCCATCCCTCTTTGCTACTTCACGCAAACCCTAAAAGCTTGGCATGTCCGACTTGGCGCCTTGGCCGCTAAGTCGCAGGCGCAGAACGAGGCCAGAGAAGTCCTACAGAAGATGGATGCATCTGGTCTGCGATACACGAGGTTGCTGAAAGAAGCGCCCCTTGGTGCAAAAAAATCATGTTCGTTGTAGAATTTGCCATCCCCAATGACATACCATTAATCATGTTTAATGGGTGGTATAAACAATCAACATATCGTAGAATGTTTATGATTATTTCCGAATGTTGTTTGTTTTGTTTTGCGGTTGGTGTGATGATGTGGAAAATTGACGATATCTTTGGATTCAGAGGGTTGAAACATGTTAAACAAAAAAAACAATGAACATTCATTGCACATATCCTCATGATCGCCCGTATTTTATATTGCTTCATGTGTTATTAATCACACAATTTCCCAAGAAGATAGGGATCCTTCAGGTGGGTATTTAATATCATTGGGAAGGTATTAGCTACGAATCTGAGTTGGCAAGTCTCCGATTTTTTAAATAATTAATAAGGTTCTTTGCATATCTCATTGAAACTCCTCAAGGAGGAACCCCTAGAAATATGTATGTAAAGTATATTTGCGGATCAAAACCACGCTTTCCGGTAGTTTTTTCGCAACATAATCCACCCACTGATATTCCCATTAGGTCCTATATTATATGAAATCCAATTTTTGAACCCCCATTAATCGTTCCCCCGATTATATGAGATACCCCCCAATCGAACTTATGGCAGAATGATCAGAATGCATTGGTTTTGTTCATTAATTGAGGGCTCTGAAGAAAAGGGGGAGCTACACAGCAGAATGATCCCTGGATGGGCTTACATGGATGGGCTTGCAATGTACATGAAAAAAGGCTTCCCCAAAACCATAGGTTTGAATACTAAAATGCTCCAATTTTGCATGATTTGGGGGCCCAGATGGACACCTCCATCTGATTCCAATGGACAACGTTCCCCAGGAAGAAGCTGCTGGCGATCCATCAGCCGGAGCCCAAAACCGAGCCAACTCCACCGGATCCGGGGCTCAGCATGTCGGAGCCACGGAGAGACTGGGTGAAGGTCAGGAGAAAAGATGACGACGCTGGGTGAAAAAAAGGTGGGTTTTTTGTGATGGGTTTAGGGTGAAGAAAAACAGGGGGAAAACACCATTTTGGTATGGCAATGAGAATTTACATCGGAGGATTCATTGTTCTTAAATTGGGATCGGGTTTTATGGCAAAAAATCGACCAACATCGGAGCAATACATATTCATATTCATATTGCAGTTAAATGCAATTGATTGATAGTTAGTGTGGTAAGCTCAACAATAAAACTATCAATATAACTATAAATGGTAAACATCATCCCTAAATGATAGCAGCTAGTAGGTGGCGGTTAATGGCATTTGGAGGGGCTTGTAGAGGCATGATTGAGTTTGAATTATCACAAACCAAAACTGGTTGATGATGGCAGTTCCAATTGCCCGAACTGACCCTGCCATGAGCTTGCGGTTGGAAGCACTACTTTCCGGTCTGTACTAGCTGGGGACATGGTGTGTTTAATTTTGGAAAACTCAATCATGGACATTCATACACCATCCTCAAGCGGTGTCAGTTTAGCCATCCATGACTGGCCTGTGGATATGAAAGAAAAACATACACCACCCCTCCATGCATGGTGAATTTTGCTGAGAATAGCCATATTGGTGGCAAGAAGTTTGGCTCCATTCGCTATGGGGAAACCATCTAGATTTTGCTGGTAGGTGAAGGTGTCAACTCTTGGACCATAAATGGGAGATTTTTTGGGACATGTTTAAATGGTATTCAAGATCAACCATTTGATGGGCAGTTGTTGGGTAGCTTTTGCGGCAAAGAAGAGCCATGAACAATACCCCGTTTTCCAAACCCATTTTATGGTACAATCAATCGCCTAAAAAAATCAACAGCGGTGTTTTTCATGGCTCATTTGTCAAATAGGTCTCTGATTCCAGAATTTGAATTGGTTTGCGGTCACTTCTTTCCCCCAATCAGAAGGTCATTGCAATTTGGTAAAATCCACACAAAGCAAAGCTATTTACAAACATGTTCGTTGGACCAACCTAACATGTTTAAGCAGCGGGGGGAAAACCGCGCCGGTAGTCGTGCACATTTTTGAAAACAAGCATATGCTTCGTCACGTCTTGGGTTGGGGGGGTGTTAACGTTCATGTTAACTTGCCGTACATGCCCATGCTACGTCACGTCTTGGGTTGGGGGGTGAACGTTCATGTTAACTTGCCGCACATGCCCATGCTACGTCACGTCTTGGGTTGGGGGGGTGAACGTTCATGTTAACTTGCCGCACATGCCCATGCTACGTCACGTCTTGGGTTGGGGGGGTGAACGTTCATGTTAACTTGCCGCACATGCGCATGCTACGTCACGTCTTGGGTTGGGGGGGTGAACATTCATGTTAACTTGCCGCACATGCCCATGCTACGTCACGTCTTGGGTTGGGGGGGTGAACGTTCATGTTAACTTGCTGCACATGCACATGCTACGTCACGTCTTGGGTTGGGGGGGTGAACGTTCATGTTGACTTGCCGCAAATGCACATACTACGTCACGTCTTGGGTTGGGGGGAGTTAACATTCATGTTGACTTGCCGCAAATGCACATACTACGTCACGTCTTGGGTTGGGGGGTGTTAACGTTCATGTTAACTTGCCGCACATGCGCATGCTACGTCACGTCTTGGGTTGGGGGGTGTTAACGTTCATGTTAACTTGCCGCACATGCGCATGCTATGTCATGTCTTGGGTTGGGGGGTGTTAACGTTCATGTTAACTTGCCGCACATGGAGGAAAACCTTTTGGAGGTCACTGGTAGCTCTTTGAAGAAGCGCATGGCCACGTGAAAGGAGGAAAGCATCGCGCGAGTTTTCAACACCAAATTCCTTGTGAATTGCAGGGGATCGTCAAAAATGCACTTCAAATTCTCGGGGAATTTTAAGCACTTTTTGTTGAATGGATCAATAGTTTCGCTTTGGTGAAAACGTCATTTTTTCAAAACGCTCACAACCGCTGGCGCGGTTTTCCCCCCGATGGGATGTTTTAAGTCTTCATCCAACATCATCTAACAACCAACAATTTTATACAAGTCATTTATAGTCATTTTAATTCTACACAGGAGATCCCATCCCATGGTTCCTTGCGGGTTTTTGGATGAGGCTGGATCCATGATAGAGATGCTTGGCTGGAATTGCTTCAGAGGCTGATGAAAATCGAATACCCCCCGGGAAACCATGGTTTCGCACTGGATCCATTTATTTTGGGTAAACCCTGGATGGATAGTCCTTCAATATACTTTAATATTTTGCTATAAATGGGCACGAAGAAGCTACGAAAATGCAGGGGATACGTTATACCATGTTGTACCCCTACCTGGTTGATTTGGGATAGCCCCCCAAGTGGTTAATAGTTGGGGATGGTTTAGTATGGATCCCACTTGATGCACCGTTCCATCGGTGTTGAACTTAGTCCTCAGGTGGTGCGCACCAGTTGTCTCAGTTGGATTATCAGTTGGATATAGCTGGATTGTAAACCCATCATACTGTAAATTACATATCTCCCATAAAGATCCATAAAACCAACATTTCACCTACTTAGAAACCAACTCAGCTAAGTAGTGGGCACCACCTTGCGTCTTTTTTCAGTTGAATTCTATCAAATTTTTGCCAGCTGAGGGTGTCTGAAAATGGGGTCCAACCCCCAACACCTTCAATTTCATTCGAGAAATTCATGATTAACCCTATTGTAACCTATCTTAATCATCAAATATTGGGGGGGGTCTTTTAACTATTGGAACAGCCAGGTGTCACCACATTTTTCTGGCCGCTGCTTGTGTGTTCCCGCTCTGGCGCTGAGGTATTTCTGGGATCGAGGAAGCGGACTGACCCAATGGGAACATCCCGACTGTCAGGTCAATGAGACCGTCGCAGTGTGAAGAAAAAAAAATCGGCCCTCGGAAGCCTTCGCCATCATTTGCCCAATCAGATCCAATATTTCGTAGAAATCGATGATTTCGCCATAGTTATTTGGCCCTTAAATCCATTAAAACACACATCAATTTGCTCATCAACATGGTTTCTTGGGAAATCCCCGAACGAAATGGAGTTTTTTTTGGTGGGAACATCATCAATACGGGCGAAGTGCCGGTGGTTATGGCGAAGATAACGATTCGTAACCACCCAAAATTGATAGACAAGTAGTTTTTTAATGGTAACTTACCACTATTTCAAGGTCGGATGTTACAATTTTCGTTTTTTTTGGGCGAAAAAAAGTGTGGCCATCGACCGACTGCTGATCAAGTGGTAGTGATAGTGGAAAGAAAGGGACCCTGTTGGATTCCTTCATTGGAGAGACATTTTAATGTCCATCAAAACTTATCAACATAATGAACTGACCAAGATTGGGATTTGTCCAAATTTGATGGCCAAAAACATCCGAAAAACAGATAAACCAATACTGGTTGGTGGTTTTGAACATTTTTCATCTAAATATTATATATGACAATTCTTCCCATCGACTAATATGTTTCAAGATGGTTATTGCACCACCAGTAAACCAAGACTGTTCGAAAGATGGGATTCCAGTGCCAGGTGATGCTTCCGGCCGTTTGGGGTGCCCAGGAAAAAACAAAACGCGCCAGGTGTATCGAAAGATGAATATCCAGCTATTACAAATATAGTTGTTTCAAGGATAGCTGGATATATCATATCTGGATATTATTCCTGGATATTACATAAATATGCATCAAATTTCGAACTTTAGTGTACATCCATTCGGAAAAACCTTTTTTTGTGCCATGTTTTTTCACGGCCGGCGAAGGCACCTTTGTTTCGCCCGCGCGAGGCCTTTGAGGCTTTGCGCTCGAAGCATGTGGCGGAGGTTTCGACGTCCTTGGGGCGACCTGGGGCTGAGGCGCGGAAAGGTCATGATGGCAGTTACTATGGCAGTCACTATGGCAGTTACTATGGTGATACTAAGGCTGTACTAAGGCTGTTACGGTGATTTTGGATTTTGGGAGATACACGTATTTCATCACATCTCCATAAAACTGTTGGTTTTCCCCTAGAATCCAACCATTCGATGGAGATGTAATGGGATGTATAACCAATAAACTATCCATTGGTTAGCAGGGAGCGGCTCGGACAAACGGGTATTATCATGAAATGGTGTGTATGATATAATGATTATGATGGCGACATGATGTGATATTTACTCCCTTGCAATCAAACATAGCCATGGAAGATCCCCAAACAACATGGAAGTTTAAGGGGAATCGTCATTTTGAAATGGAAATTGTCTATGAATAATGATATAATATATGTTTATTACATATATATTTATCTAGTGGTTACGAGGGAGCTAAGGAGCCGTTCACCATCAAATTGTATCAAATTGTTGCGGTGCCTTATTTTCAAACAATCCTATTTGGACTTGTCGAAAGTTTATTTGTGTGTCTGAAAACGGGAACATTGCCTTTTCAGCAGGGCAACTGATGATTACTGTACTGTATACAACCAATGTTAACCAGAGAATTTGGGGTACTCTATTTTCAGACAAGTCCTTCAGGTTTGTCCGAATATGGAGTATCCCCCTCGGGATTGGGGGCACACCATGTTCCCCACATGGTGAAAGTGGGGAAGCTAATGCTTCATTTCATAAAGATAGATATTTTTTTTTGGTTATTGGGAAAACAGTATCGTTATTGGGCCATATCACAGTGCCAAGCTTGGGATCAGCAGGTTGACCGGTGGACCATCAAAACCTTGAGGTTTCGGACTGACATTTTCATGCGAGAAACTGCGGTCATGAGAACAACAGTCCAGCTCAAAACTGCGGCATTCGACAGCTGGCACTTGTTTCCCTCAACAAACTGCCAGGCCGCAACTATTTAAGTTGAGTAAATGTCAGCACAAAGCCAAAGACATCCAAAGACCATGGACATTGATAAACTCTGAATTTTCCATAAGGCGTGCCGCAGCATCGCTACCACCAAATCCCATGGTTTGGAAAATCATGTTCCCATTACAAGGTGAAGCCCCCGGTATTTTTAAAATGGGAACTAGATGCAGCCCACCAAGAACATCCAAGAACCGCTAAGAATCAACTTATATACTGTATCTATCCCCATAAAATCTTTTAAAAACCTAGAATTCACCAAATGATGTGGGTGAACTTAGCTATAATCAGGGGGCCTCAGTTTGTTTGTACCATGAACATACGTGGTCTCCATGTACATCCTGGAGACGTCAGCATCGCTGATTTCAGGTGTGCATGCAGTACCAGGCCCCCTTCAGATGGGATTGACATTCGGAATGGGATCTAAGCCACTAAAAAATCATCTAAAGTATCGTTGGAATGATAGTAATTGTTTAAACATGTTTAATGTCATCGTTGGAATCATATTAAAAAAATGGGATGTTTGAATATGTTTGATGATTTTAAGTGGGATATTAACAAATTGTCATGCTTATGGGGTATACCCGGATTTCATGGCCATTTTGGTAGGAATAATGAAGGGTAGTGAAGATGGATCAATGGATTTAGGAGTGTAATCCATTTTCGCACAAACCAACGAGTTTGCTTGCGGATCTGACGTTTTTGCGTTAAAAAATAGGTAGGTGAGATTTCTATATAGTTCATGGTGTCCATTCTAAAGGCGCGAAAGAGAAACCAGCGATCCATCATTTTACTATTTAGTATGGTACGGGCCGAAACTTGAGGACCAGTCCAGTGACCCCAGGTATAGATATTGGTCTGTAGGAATGCATCCCTTGGATGAATATCCCAACTTTGAACCATACCGGACCATACCGTACCATAGCCACAACTCCGCAACCAACAGCCATGTTCGTGCCGGATCTTCCCCCTGATGTGTCAGATGGATTCACGGAACGCTACCAGCATGGCCTCTATTCTCACGTGCCTTAGTATGGAGTCATTGGGCTGAAGCGAAACTGGGGATACCACTGGTTTTTGGCCAAAGAGCTGGAGGTTTCCTGAGTCATGGGGTACCCCAAGAGCTGGTTCATGGAAAATCCACTTGAACAGCTGGATGAGTTGGGGGTCGCCCCATTTTGGGAAACGACCGTAAACTCGTAAACTGCTAGCTGGTTTATTGGGAAGATATCCTCCGGTAATCGCCAGGTTAGATGACGGGACGGTCATGGAGCCATGGTGGATGTTAGTCATTGGATCACCGGACTGCCCTTACCTGCAGGATGGACATTTGATGATTTTTGTTTCATGAATTGTTGGGGTTACATAAGCATTATATGATATTATATGTAACATTAATGTAACCCCAAATTATGTCTACCTGTCTACCTCCCCATTTGTTACAGATTTTGAGACAACCGTTATTGGACGACGGGGGGTGTGGAATTGCATGGAACATCCCGGCGAGTCCACCATGGAACGGCCGATCGAGGTGTGCTGTGATGATTGCGCGGCAGGAGCCAAGGCTGGGTCCATGGGAGGAGACTCCCGGCCACAGACAGAGCGGCTGATTAGTCAAGTTCTTTCATCAATTTACCATGCCATTTTATGGGATATGGGCACTCTATGGCACTCTTATCCAATCACAAAAAACCCATAGCAATAGTATGCAATAGTATGCAATCGTCCTTTTTTGTCTACGATAGTCTAGGGTGGATTCCCATCAATTGCCGGTTTTTCTCAGCGAATCCCGCCGAGGACGAGATTCCCAAGATATAACTGGATAGTTTTTAGATGGCATCTCCCATCGTAGTAGGGCCGCCATGTTTGTTGGCGCTTCGTAGGGAATGGGGGAATGATCTATAATATTCTATAATAATTAATCATCCAATCTCCATTCCCCACTAAGCACCAGCAAGATCACCATGGAATGAAAAGCGCACATGAATGTAAATGATGTACTAAACCATGGAATGCAGTACCTCATTTTCAGACAGACCAATGTTGACCATGACTTCCACGGTCAGAGCCTGGGGATTTGCTATGGATCTGGGTCGAGTCGTCAGCAAGCTCTGGCAGTGTAGCATACTGAAGCTATGGAAATCGCCATGTTTCAAAACGGCAAAACATCAAAGTCACCGGGCCATGTTCATCCACTTCCCAGTTGGCAAACTGTAATTTAAATGACGGGTAATAGAACACACGAGCTTTCTTGATGGTTTCTTAAAACCAAGGATCCCAAGTCACTATGGGTTTCAATATACTAAGCTGGTCTAATGATGTCCAATGACTTGGATGATTTGGGTTCTTTCCTGACTTAGGAAACCTCCTTTGATGTTTTGTGGGTCCATGATTTTGAGCCATGCCCATCATGATCATCATGATGCTTGATATTGGGGCCTTCATTTGCCTCCGCAAAAAAGGGCCCCGGCGCACCTGTGGGAAGTGGACTGGCAGGCGAGGTTAGCCGCGGTTCGCCCGGGCTTCGGGGCTGCCAAGCAACATACTCCAGAGGTTTCCATAAATGGGGTTACCCAAAATGGATGGTTTACGGTTTGCAATGGAAAAATCTATATGGTAGTGTGTCAAAACCTTGTACCCCGGGTGAACATCAAAATAGCTGGTAAATGGATGTTCATTCCCCTAAAAATGGTATTAATAGGTATTGATCCATACCCATATGTATATGAAAGTGGATGATTTAGGGGTACCCCCATTTTAGGAAACTTCCATACGAATGTACAATATCTAAATATCTGGGGATATGCATGGATATGCCATATATCACTGGGGTTATCTATGGCATAATGGCAGAACTATGGATTACTGTTATTGCCCACTTACTGGGATGCAACCTCACGTAGACAAGTTTGGGTCTATTTCTGAGGTCCCCATTTTGCAGATACATTGCACACGGCACCGTTTCGGAACATTTGCCGCTTCATTTAAGCCTGCGGTTGGTCAAACAATTTCAGAAGCTGGGGACGCAGTCATACATGCCATAACC